TTATATTAATGTGATTGGTAACTTCAAGTGTTTAGACATCTGACATCTTTAGTCCCGCCCACTTCAGAGCCCCTCCCCCCAGTTACTCATTTCCTGTTGAACACGAGATTCCTCCCGCCCTACCGGCATTCTCGTTGCATCCGCTGTCATTCAGACCGCCAATTCAAACCGGATTACCATTGGAAATTCACAAACTCAAGAATATATATTCGGAACGAGATTCAAAGCGATGTATATGTCGGAAGACGCCGATTTGCCTGCGCTTTTTAGGATACTAGAACCCGGAGTACCGGTGGGACATCCTTCCAGCTCATCACTCTGAGCTCTGAATGCCGCTGTAGCGAGTGAATGCGCGATCAGTTTTGAACCTTAAACCAGAACATATCACACGAGCTGTTGAAGTAAAGAGGCTCAAAAGCAATAGATAACACTTTAGACGTATTCGGAAGCTTATCTCAAAGCACATCTGTCACGCATCTTGACTGGAAAGCAGGCGCCGCTCCGATCGCGTGACTCTCGCTCCCCACGCGCTCACTCATACACAGACAGACTTTAAATTGCTGGAGTTCAGTGACATGCATCAGCGGGGATCGTTTGTCTCTCCGTTGCTCAGCGGTGTTTTCTGCCAGTGCCGCTCGGAGGAGTATCAGGGCTCGGACCCCGGTGGAGGTGGTCGGACTCTGGGCTCCGCGACATCTCTATCCGAGCACCGCCATGATGAGTCCTGCGACTCCCCGCATCACTGCCCGGTGTGCGGCGGACCCGAGCAGGAGCATCGGCTCAAGGTGCTCTTCCAGATCCTGGATGTCAACAGAGACGGAGGCATCTGTGTCAACGACCTGACCATCGGACTGAAAAAGCTGGGGGTCCATCGCACAGAACATGAACTCAAGGTGAGTTATCCACTTTACACAATTGAGTTATCCCACTATAATAGGTCTTTATAATGGGATTACAGGTCAGATCACACTGATAGAGAGGACAGACTTAGGAAGGACTCAGTTCAGCTTATTTTGTTTGTGCATCACTATTTATTAAACACCAGTAGTACAATTAATTTTACTTAAAGGCTATTGGCTTCTTACGTTCACAGCTCTTGTGTGGGGTTACTGCCTAAACCAGTTGATTTGAGTGACATTTGCTTAACACAGTGCCACAAATGCCATCTGTGCCTTTCATTTCTCTACACTGTGTGAAGAGGTTTTTTCCTAGAAAGGTTTACAGTTGTTTTCAGCGTGTCTGATGTAGACATATGGCTAAAAAGAACTACATTGTTGGGTGAACACTGGCAATGCTTATGTGGCATGATAGGAATTTGATTTTTTTTGTTGCATCTCCTATTTTGAGGCAGGTGTGTGGGTTTCTGTCCACCCAAAATATACATTTAACGTGGCAAATTGAGCTTAATTTCAGGTACGAAGAAGCTGTTCTCCTTATTTAGCTAGAACAATTATTTTAATATTATTATTTTATATATATA